AGATATTGTCACATTTTGCCAATGGAGCGGCTGACAATTCCCACACCTCCTATTGTGTGCCTCAATCCGATAAGTTTTCATTTTATTGTGAAGATGGGGTACCTGACCTTTATATATTTTTCGTTTATAAATCACGAAATATATCTCCTGTCTTCGTTTCAGAGTCCATTCCGAGTGCTTGCTGCCGGTTCGATTAGTTTGAGTGCTTCACTGAGTCTATTTGAGTCGAAAAGATTTTCTATATCATTTCTAGCACGAATATTTCATCTGCCTTGAAAGGTATTGTTGCATATATCAATATTTTATGAGACCAATTGTTTAGAATAGTGCCAGTGTTGGTACTACACATGTGCAGTTACAACACATATATGAAATAGGCAAAATAGGAGAATGGATCGTATGTGTAAATGGGGATTTAAAGTTGCGAGAATATATTAACTAAAACTTTGTACAATATGTGATGGAAAAGTTTTGCGATAAAAAAATTCACCTCCATACTGATCAAACATAATGGATTTCAAATGCCAAAAAAAGGCACCAGGTGGAAACTTTGACCCATGGCGGTATGAAAGGTTCAGATGCATGAAGAGTAGAGACTAAACTCCACTTAATTTTCTCCTTGACATTGTTGAATTAAGAATTCCTAGCTGACTTGCCAATGTTGTCTCAGATTATAAATTTAACCTCTTTTGAAGTCCAATTTGCTCTTAGGTATTTTGCCCCCTTCATCTTCACTACAGTTCAGGATGTTGCGTCACAGAGCCTCTCAGCCGCTTTCGATCGACTGCAAGATATTTAGGAGAGAAATCTTAGCATCACTTTCAGTTGACGAGTCTCTGTCCTCATGTTAATCTTCCAAAACATTTCTCGCTGAGTTTGAGAACTGATCTTCCGTTCACAGCTGATCACGACCCATTTTCAGCATTGGCAAAGTACCTGCCCAGAGACCCGCTTCTCTAGCCCTTAAATAAGATACTCATATGCATGTAGATTCCTTAAGGTCTTCTCATCCCCATTCTGGCACTCTGAATAGCGGCTCTAACACATGCACTCACGACCCCTTGTGATTGGTTTGGATTGAAAACTGTTGTGTGCCCATTTGTTAAGCACATGTACCTCTCTAATTGCTCAAAATATGTCTGTAATTAACTCTCAAATATGTATGATAGATTGACAAAGTTGGCTCACGAACTGGACAAAATTTTCTTCCTGTATTGATTTGATTGATTGATTGCCTGAACCCCGATACAATAAATATTCTTCACAAAATATTATTATCAGATGGGAATAAGCTCGATGTGTTATAATGGCCAAATTACAACTTTCGCCAGTGTGTTTCTTCACCAGAAGAGGAAGTAACGACAACGTTTTGAGCCGTCCAGGTCTATAATCAAGTCATATATAATAATTATCACATACGACATGATTACGCTCCAAGACGGACCGAAACGTCGTCGTCTCCTTATCTTCTGACGTGTGGTGTCGTCATCATATCTTCAGCTAAGTTATTGTGACTCATCGTCTGTACATGACGTGTTATTCCGTCTTTATGAAACAGGGAAGCTTAAAATTGGCGCAAGAGTGAGATGTCACAACAGCAAGGAGATGCTTCATCATACAAGCTGATGATGTATTTTGCATGATGATGCGTATTGTATCCATCATCATACAAGCTTTTGAAAAACAAGTGCTCCAGGTGAGGCTCGAGCTTACAAGCTCCGGCATGACCCAGATACTGGAGCTTCGCTCTCAATATACCTTTTTTTTTGGCCTGAGCCTTTTTGGTCTTATCCAAAAGCCATACATTTCGTTTCGTACAAAAATAACTATTTCTGTTCGTCTGTTTCTCTGTGAATCATCCAGATTCAGAAATGATATATAAATTTAAGTGGCTCCATAGTAAAATGAATCTGATGATCAGGCATAAGAAACCTGGACTAACTGCTATATTCAGGGAGATATTCTAAAGCAGGATCATTAATGACGTTTACAAACATTAAAGCAATTAGCACAAGCGTGAGCTTAGTTTTAATGCATTCTCAAAGATCATTAGTGAAGTATATGACAAAAATTGGGACCATAACATGTCCTGGTGGAAGACATCAGTTGCTAAAGAAATAGGTAGAAACTGGTCCATATTGCGCAGTCAGAAGAAATATATGTTCCTAGACTAGATTCGTGCCATAGGCATTTACCGGATTCGTGCCGTAGGCATTTACCTCCGTGCTTCGGAGGTAAATGCCTCCGAAGTATCCATAGTATTGATAAGTCTCATGACAATCCCAAAGCAAGACTGATCACCAGTGGGTAAGTTCATATGGAATACCTGCTGGTCTAATAGCAAACTAAAAGATTATTTAATTGTTCCAGACGGTTAAAATACTCTCATTGTGTGCTAGCAAGAACACCTTTCAAGAACGTAGATACGAACGCAATTAAATAACAAAAGAACAAGAACATTCACCGTTCTCTGTATGAGGCCATTTTATAACATTTCCCAAGTAGAAGGAAAATGTTTTAAGAACAGACATGAACATGTTTTTAAGAACACCGAAAAACGAGGCATGAACTTTTAAACAACAGATGGTTTTGTTGAAACAAAATTTATAATCATAAACAGGTGAATGGCATGAAAAGCAAAGAAACTTTCTGTTTACGATTCTTAATATAAATCATTTTTTTCCTATAAACAGTTTCTCTGACACAGCATCAACGATGGTATTGGCCACGAATGAACATAATATTCCCCTAATCTTTAGGAGAGGAGAGCAAATCTCCTCAAAACCCAAACCCCCCATTTTCCCGATTTCACAGGCATCGTTGGATGTCCCAGTAGGAGCCAATGCTACTTAAGGAGCGGAATAATGGGGTTGATCACTATCACTTATGACACTCCCTATTCAATCAAAAATCACCACAGGATTAATACTGCTAACTGCAAGCGTCTCCCCCCCCCCGAAGAAACATTATAGTTTTGATACAATAAGACGGCTTTGTACTTGAAGTCTGGACTATTTAAGAACATAAGAACATAAGAACGAATGTAACTGCAGAAGGCCTATGGCCCATACGAGGCAGCTCCTGTCTATAACCGCCCAATCCCACTCATATACATGTCCAACCCGCTAATGTTATTTCCTATAACATATATCCGTCATATATTACTTCTTAGAGCAAAGATATGTTGAATTTTGAAAAGTTGTTTTTAACAAGTTCATTGCGGATGTAAAATAATTTTAGAGTTGCGATAATTGTGAATTGATTTACGGGCGAAACATATCTTAATTTTGCCGACTAAGAACTGTCCTGAGAGACGATTCTTCTTGCAAGCTTAGAACATAATTTCCAAACGATCCACGTAACAGTGGCTGAAAAATACTTCACCGTTAATCTTCATCTCTGTCCAGAATGCTGCGCCGCACTCCTTCTCGGTCATTTCTCGACGGCAAATGCAAATAACATTCACGCTTCTCAAGCAGTGTGCAGCGTTATCTCGAGAACTTGAAAACAAGTGCTCCAGGTGAGGCTCGAACTCACAAACGCCGGCACGGGGAACCAGACCGTATGCCCAACCGAAGTGCCACTGAAGTCAGGCACTTCCTCGTTATCAGGCTGTCTTAGGCTGTCTGTTATTCTCCGAGTGACGCATTCCGCACGTTTTCCTGACGCATCCTACTCTAAAATCTGAATTTCGAGTGGATTTGACTGAAAATTTGTTGATTCTGGTTAACGCCTGAATGTTTGGTCACAATATATTTTCCTGATGAATCACAGTAAAAGTTCCCAATCCATTAATGTACATGACGGTACATAATGATCGGATCTTAGCTGTATATTCAACCAGAAGAGTTCCACACAAGCTTCTTGGAGGATTAGGGATCAAGGTGGTATTTTAAATGGTTATCTTGAGGTTATCTTGAGATGATTTCGGGGTTTTAGTGTCCCCGCGGCCCAGTCCTCGACCAGGCCTCCACCCCCAGGAAGTAGCCCGTGACAGCTGACTAACACCCAGGTACCTATTTTACTGCTAGGTAACAGGGGCATAGGGTGAAAGAAACTCTGCCCAATGTTTCTCGCCGGCGCCTGGGATCGAACCCAGGACCACAGGATCACAAGTCCAGCGTGCTGTCCGCTCGGTCGACCGGCTCCCTGGTTGACTGGTCTCACATGAGTGATCCTGAAGGCAGTGGTTTGCACAGTCGGCTCTCATTCGATTCGTCCTGGTTCCGATTCCTGAGGAAGTTGAGACGTTTGCGCACCTATACGAGCTCGCAATGCCTCTATTTATCTAGCCGTAAGTGAAAACCTTGGAGATAGTCGACTGTTGTGGGTTGCATTCTGGGGACCTCGATAGGCCTAGCATGGTCTTGTGACAATGAAAAACCATAATGGTATAGAATTAAGACCACCTTACTTTGAGGTTACCTTGAGGTGCTTCCGGGGCTTAGCGTCCCCGCGGCCCGGTCGTCGACTAGGCCTCCTGGCCCACGCAGCGTTCTGTTCAAGGCTCAGTAGTATGCAGGCGAAGAGTCACAATAACGTGGCTGAAGTATGTTGACCAGACCACACACTAGAAGTTAAAGGGACGACGACGTTTCGGTCCGTCCTGGGCCATTCTCAAGTCGATTGAGTAGTATATTTACCACAGGAGGAAGCTGCCACTCGCAGTATTATCTGACAGTGAAAGTTGACAGACTTCTTGCGTTTTTCTTAACATTAATGTGGAGAATGTGGCAGGTGAAGGAAAGCGCTGAGGCAGCAGTACTATATATCACGCGGAAGGGATATGGGGGACCATCAACTAGGATAAGAGGATAGAGTGAAGGAACGCTGCTCAATTTTTTCCACCATTGTGGAAAGAACAAAAAAAAGATACTCAATTTTGTTTCTCATTGGGTAAGGGATCCTCTCTAGCGTTTTTTTTTAGTTCTTAGTAACGTATCTTTTTAGTGTCCCTCACTATAGTTAATGTTGCGTGCTCCCTGGAGCCTCAAAACAAGTGGTCCAGGTGAGGCTCGAACTCACAACCTCGGCATGGCCCAGACACTGTCTTATAAGTACCGTGCGCTAACCGATTGCGCCACTGGAGCCTTGCTCTCAGTTGCTCGTTGGCTCTTTGATGTTAAACCACTGTTTACCCCGTCTCTTCCTGTGTCTTTGTATCTGTCTCTCTCTGTCTCTCTCTGGATGGATTATGTAGTGTCATGCAGGAATGAGGAGGAAATATTGACAGAAAAGGTGATGGTAAGAAAGCATATGGCACTGATGAGAGACGAGATGATATTGATACCAGAAGACGTATGACAGATAAAAGAATGGGATATCAGGATAGAATGGGGCGCAACCCCACTGAAAAAGAGTCTGATAAATGCAAAGGAAAGATAAGGACAAATTATAATTTAATTTATATATAATGTAAAAATTTTATTTTCACTAAAACTTGTATATGTAGCATTTATTAAATATTTTCAAAATGGTAGAGAATAACGTCTGAATAAGCAGTCATTAATATTGTTTTTTTCAATAAGATCCTGTTTGTATTAACAGTAAACAATTCACTAAAAAAACAAATATAATTAATATTTTCATGTTTCAGTTTCACAGTCCCATGTTTTGTTTCTTGAAGAACATAGATCTACTAAGTCAGTCTAGTTTTTTTCAACAATTATTGGAACTTCTATTTGTTGAACAGAGCAGTATTAAAATATTATAGGTACCATGTTATTTGTAACTTATAAAAACTTGGATATAAATTACATTTTTCCAACCAAGATTTAACTGTACAAATATCTCAAAAGATAAATTATCAACTCTCAAAGAGAAACTTTACGAACTTCGTATTTTTTTCAGGATGAGCAAACGATTTATCCAGTTTATAGTCAAACATGGATATAGAACACCGTAGACTTATAGCTATATGACTAACCGTCCTGTGTGATGGGGATTTTTTAGCATCACGCAGCTAGCTTTTTGACACACTGTACTCCCCTTCATATAGTCTAGGACAGCTGCACAAATACAAATGTACCTAATGTATTAATACATAATAATGTATTATTTTCATGCAACCTTACCTAGTGGTTACCTTGTGTTTGATTCGGGGCTTTGCGTCCCCGCGGCCGAGTCGTCGCCCAGGCCTCCATACCTATGTTAGTTAAGAAAGTTAATTAATTAGATAAATAAGAGGACTTAGTGATGGATGTAAACTGTGTGAGCAAGAACTGGGCCATTATCTCACACACACAACATTACTGAAGTCAATAAACCCTTCACACTTGCTGGTATGAAGTACCTAGATCATGTACATTACTATATTTCCTATTCTACAACACTATTCTCGTGTTCTAGAGAATATCCTGATACCACAACTGAAGTGTGCCAATGCAAGCTACTGATCACATACTCCTTTATGACTAACTATCCTGCGATATTGGGGAATCGTTTAGCATCACGTAGCTTGCTTTAGAGTCAAACTATACAACGTTTCATATTGTTTTAGGTAGCTGTATAAATACAGTATAAATGTACCTAAATATAGACAAATAATGGGTTGATGTGGTGCAATTGGCTGTGTGATTTGGGACATATATGATGTAAAATTTGCTTAGGCAAGTGGAAGTGAATGCGGCGGAGCTTGAAGAAAATGACTGTATTTGTGTGTGTGTGTGTGTGTGTGTGTGTGTGTGTGTGTGTGTGTGAGTGTACTTACCTAGTTGTACTTACCTAGTTGTATTTGCGGGGGTTGAGCTCTGGCTCTTTGGTCCCACCTCTCAACTGTCAATTAACTGTTACTAAGTACAATTTTTTTGTTCCCCCCCCCCCCACACACACACAGGAAGCAGCTCCGTGACAGCTGTCTAACTCCCAGGTACCTATTTGCTGCTAAGTAACAGGGGCATTCAAGGTGAAAGAAACTTTGCCCATTTGTTTCGGCCTGGTCCGGGAAACGAACCCGGGCCACAGAATTACGAGTCCTGCGCGCTATCCACCAGGCTACGGGTGTGTGTGTGTGTGTGTGTGTGTGTGTGTGTGTGTGTGTGTGTGTGTGTGTGTGTGTGTGTGTGTGTGTGCGCGCGCGCGCGTCCTATTTGTTTATGCGGTTGCATGAACAAAATCCTTTGTTTCTGGAACATTGCAATTTAATCAAACAATAAATTTGATTAAACTGCAATTTAATCAAATCATTTATCTCGTTGGAACGTCACTTAGAATTAAACGACAAAAATGTCTTCAGAAGAGCTGCTGAATCCAGTCAAACCCTTTACGGGGTTCGTTGTAATTTGACGACTATAAGAACAATGTTATTTCCATGTTAACGCATTTTCCAAGTAATAATGCCCAAGATCGTATTCATATTACAAACTGATTTTGTGTTGTGTAATTTGAAGAATGATTAGTATATTATTCTGGAAGAAAAATTGGCGAGATAGGATGATCAAATTAAATTAGGGAAATATTAGAAAGCTTATATAATCAGTATTAAGTTCCGGTACCAACTTAACAACGTAATACAAATCCAATTAATTCCCTGTCGATAATGCAAAAATTAATTATGAACAATAGATATATTCTATACCACTTTAATTCTGACCATTAGTTAACTAATTGGGGAGATTACAAGATTCATTAACACCGTTTACCGCGATTTCTCACAACTATTGTATTCATCGTGTACTCTCTTAATTGTGTTCAATGTACATTTCCTCACATTACTTTCAGTTGTGTTGCAGTACCTTTCCCTTTACTTCCACCCATTAGATCTTATCAAGGCCATCCTCCCAGCTTTGTTCTAAAAAGGCGTAAAAAAGCACATATTTACATGTTAAAGATTTCTCTTTGTGAATGACATCATGTTAAATGTAAGGAGTATGTCTATTTTCTGTTTGTTAAAGTAAAAATTAGATAACTCAGTGGGTCCTCTAAGTCTGCTCGTTCTCTCAGCTCTGTGATAAGCATTGTTGTATATTTCTGAAGTTCCTCAAGCTTGGTCGTCCGCTTTTACCGGGTAGTGGTTGTATGCCCCGACCTGTGCTCGGGGTCTCAATCAGCTTCTGTAAATACACTACATGCTTCCCTCTCTATTTTTACTAAAAGCTTCCTGATGTTTGCCTCCTATGCACGCAAGAGCTGTGTGTGTGTGTGTGTGTGTGTGTGTGTGTGTGTGTGTGTGTGTGTGTGTGTGTGTGTGTGTGTGTGTGTGTGTGTGTTTAGCAAAAGCAGAGATGCCTGTTCTCTCCCACCCATCTTGAGGTTATCTTGAGATGATTTCGGGCCTTAGCGTCCTCGCGGCCCGGTCCTCGATCAGGCCTCCTTTTTGTTACACCCCTCCCCCAGGAAGCAGCCCGTAGCAGCTGACTAACTCCCAGGTATCTATTTACTGCTAGGTAACATTAGCATCAGGGTGAAAGAAACAATTTGCCCATTTGTCACCCCCTCCACCGGGGATCGAACCCGGTACCTCATTACTACGAATCCGAAGCGCTGTCCACCCAGCTGTCAGGCACCCATAACTATAATATTTTCTCATGCACGAAGATATTCCCCCTAGCTTCTGAGATATAGAAAACACGAAAAAAATATTAATGGATAACAAATTAAAATACGAATAGAGATAAACGAGAAATCTGCGAAAAACCGAAAAACAACAAGGAACAAGAAGGAGGAAATGGCTGGAAGATGGAAACAGGGTAATCTTATAACAGCTCAAGTGGAATTACCAGGAATTGGAAAGAGTTGAGGTTGAAGGACGTGGAAAACCCGCGTCTTTCTATCGAATTTAGGTTCCTGGCCATGTTTGTCCTTTGGCTCCAGACGTGTTTAGCCAGTTCTCGCCTCGATCTTTTGCCTGCTGGCAGAGACGGTGGGACAGAGGGAGGGGACAGGGAGGGACAGAGAGGGACAGAGAGTGGTAGGGAGGGGACAGGGAGTGTCAGGGAGGGACAGGGAGGGACAGAGAGGGACAGGGAGGGACAGAGAGGGACAGGGAGGGACAGGGAGGGACAGGGAGGGACAGGGAGGGACAGGGAGGATCAGAGAGAGTCAGGAAGGGACAGGCAGAGGGTATTTAGGGAAAGGGTGAGTGCATCCTTTGGAAAGCGAGGGAACTACCAGGGGGGGAAAGCGCCAAGCCATTACGACTATATGCCACTAGGAAGGGGTCAGTATAACGATTTAGGATAGGCCGGGGGGGAAGGAATGGTACCCGACTACTTGTGGACACTCGGGGATTGAACGCCGATCTGCATGAAGATCAGTAAATGATGGAGGAAAGAGGAGGGTGAGCGATAGAGATGTAGAGGAAGGGGGAGGAGAGGTTGTTATTGGATGCTGGAGTGAATAGGAACAGGAATGAAGAAATGATGATTTAGTAGGGAGGTAGATATGGGAAGTAGAAAATATGAAGGATGTCGAGAAATGAAATCTGGAGAAAGGATGGATGGAGAGGAACGATAAAGAAAGAGCGACAAGTAGCAGCAGAAGGAAAGTGTGTGCTAGAGAGATGGCGAGATAAAATAAAGGATAATAGCGTAGGAAGATAAGATAGGAACGAGACCATACTTAAAAGATAAAAAAGGATGAAAAAAATATAGAAAGAGGGATTGAGAACTGGATAAGCATCTCGAAAGGATACCTAATCAACCAGGCTGTGACTCATACGTCAGGCTGCGAGCAGCCGCGTCCAACAGCCTGGTTGACAAGTCGAGCAACCAGGAGGCCTGGTCGACGATCGGGCCGCGGGGACGCTAAGCCCCGGAAGTACCTCAAGGTAACCTCAAGGTAAGGGAGAGGCAGGAAAGAGTAAAGGAAAGGGCCAGAAGCGAAGGGAGACGTATGGAGAGATACAGAAGGCAGAGCAGGCGGGGAACTTCCCCAGATGTTCCTCCCCTTTTCCCCCACCACGGCAGGGAGGGGGGGGGGGGGATGGAGGCTATACAGATCTTCAGGAGGTTAAGACCCGGAACATTTCTTGGGTGGCTGCTCCCTCGGGGGGACTTCCTCATGCCTCCGCCCCCTCGTCACCTGCTCATTACCAGTCCTTTCACGCCCTAACAGGTTAATAAACGAGGCTCGAATTCCCTTTACCTCTCATT